CCCTCAGACCAACCCTGCCCACACTCGCCACACAGGGCACTGTCGTGGGGCCTGGACGAGTGGAAGCAGTAATGGCTTCAACTCCTGGTGACATGGGGCTCGGGGGGTCATGCCGGGCTCCCCTCCATGCACCCCAGGAACTCAGCTGCCCTTTTTCCTGAGCCCATGTGCTGCAGTCCCTGGGGAGTCAAGGTAGGGGTGTGAGCTGGCCCAGCTCCTGCCTCCTGCCTCCTTCCCCAGTCTTTAATATTCATGAGCTCTCCTAGCAGGGGAGCTAAAAATGTTCCGCTCCTAAATCTAACTGCTTTATGGAAGCCTAATTAAATTCTTTGGTGGAAGGGGAAAAACAGTGACCTTCAAAACTGCCAAAGCTATTTGGAGTGGCGCCCCAGAAACCTTTCCCCTGATCCCCCCTCCTGCTGTGGTGGCCTTTCTTCTGGTGATGAAATTCTGTGTCCCACCTCCCCCTCTGGCCAGGGGGTGAGAATATGCTCTGGGGGTGGGGACCCCAAAGACAAGGCTGCCTCCTGTTGAAGAGTCACACACAGGCAGTGGAGCGGCTCCTCTGGTGGCTAGAGACCCTCAGCCCTGGCTGGAAACTTCAGTCTCAGCCAGCGAAGGGGTTTCAGAGAAGAGATGGTAAAGAGCGCTCTGTTGGCGCTAGTGACAGGGCCTCCCCTGGGTGCTTCCTCTCTCCCTGGGCCACCTCTTCCATGCATCCCACCAAGGCCCAAGTGGGTGCAGAGACAGGCCAGCCCTTTGCACACCTGAAAGTGGGAGCTTAGGCTTGGAGCGCAGGCCCTGGCTGCTTCCTTCCCGAGGGTCAAGCAACCATTTCCTGTGATGCCAATGGAGAAAATCAGTTTCTTTTTTCTCCAGGGTCCCTGACTAGAGCAGGCAAGACTCTGACTCCCCCATACTCTTTCCTGTGACCTGAGTTTTCTCACCTCCCAAGAAGCTGAAAGAGATGTGAGCGGGAGGAGATGAGGACATGAACCCCTGAACCCCTCACCTGCACAGTGACATTCGCCCTCGAGAAGGTGGTTTCAGACAGACACTCCTCCTACAGGAGAAGAGGCTGGAGGTCTGCAGGGGTCAAGTGCTGCTTGACCATCCAGACAGCCAGAGAGGACAGTGCCTCCTCCCCCATGGCCTCCCCATCAGCCCCTCTGCTCCTCCCACCTCACCAATCGCCTCCTTTCTCCACTCATTCCCAACTCTCCCTCTTTACTCAGATCCTTCTTCCAGTGGGGGTGCTCTAATCCCCTCTTCTTTCCCAAATCCTCCCCAGTGAAGGGCCCAGCTTGATGAGGGAGAATTCCCTAGGCCACCCACTGGGACATCCCATGGACCCTGACTCTTGGGCTGGCTCAGACACTCCTTCATCCACTGAGCCCCTCACACTTGGAAGCCACCCTAACTCCCTCGTGGGTGTGACCTCCAAGAGGTCAATACTCTTGTTCTAAATGCCCATGGGAGTTGCCAATGTGCCCCCAAAGGCTCAAATGCTTCATGGTCAGTCAACGAACAGGTGAGTGAGTGAACGAAGGTGAGTGAATGAATGAGAAAATCCACTCACTCCACAAATATTATTAAGCACTATTTGCCAGACACTGCACTGGGTGATGAGGAGACGGAGGACATTAAGACCAACCTGATCCCCAGTCTCCAACCTCATCAACCTTAGTCCAGAGAAACGTGAATAAATGAGGGAGCAAGGGAAGTTGAGAGAGTGGCAGGTGAGTGGACTAGGGACCAGATGGTGCACAAATGCATGGGTTTCTGAGGGCCCCAGAAGTGTTACCCTGACAGAGGGGCTCCTCGCCTCTCTGAGCCCACCCAGCCCAACTCTTCCTCACTTGGCTCCCTGTGCTGGCTCTCCCCAAGGTCAGTGTTCCAACTCCCTTCTCCCCTACCCCCACCCCAGTGGTGCCTATTTTGGTATTTCTGCTCCCCTTGGGCTGACACCTCCCTGCGCTCACAGCCGCTGCCTTCCCCAGTCTGTCTTCTGAGGCCTTGAATCAAATGGGGAAATATGGTGAAACCTCCGTCTCCATTGTCTTGAACTGAGACCCCACCAACTTAGCCCTGCTCCCCAGGAAGAAGTTGGGTGCCAAGGAGCCCCCCACCAAGGAAGCCGAAAGACAAAGACTGTCCCCCAGCCTCCCTATCAGGTGGGTCAAAGGAACTGTCAACCTCCAGCAGGGTCCTTAGAACCTTCTTGGGGATGGCCTAACAATTATACAAATGTTAAAGCCTGCTAGTCTCAAGCATAAAAATAAATACCCCCTCTGGCCTATGAATTAAGGCAAATACAGTAAATTCTTTTTATTTATATGTGATAATGGAACAAAACTTTTAAATTTCACAGAGTGAGACATCTTAATATTGCTATCACAGACTCATCAAATCTCTCTAGCCTGTTATTTCTGGGCCTAACCTTGCCCTCTATCTCCTCTTTAATGTGGCATGGGGCGGTGTGCACGTATACATGTGTTTGTGTTTGGGTAGGGGGCACAGGGTGTAGAGTCGTAGTTCCAAACTGCACACAAGGGGCTCTAAGAGAACCATGTAGCTTCAAGCCAGGTGGAAAGCTATGTGGCTTGGCATGGAGCTGGGATTGTACCCTAAACCTGTGGATTCAGACACCTCCAACCCTGTTTCCATATATGGGTACTGTGATGCAGTGGATGCTCTGGGGTGGCATGTTGACCCCATTTTCTGGAACCAGGTCTTTAATCTTCCCACTGCCAATCTTCCCAGCTGAGTACCTCCCTAGGCATGCTCTTGGCAGGGGGACCTGGATTCCCTGAAGTTGGGCACCATCCCTAAAGGCAGCTGATACCCAAAATTTGGCCCAGATGGGATGCCAAAGCTTGAGCTTCTTGCCTCTACTGCAGATAGCTCTTAAGGCCATCTTAGCTGCAGTACTGGCCTTAGGGAGGCCTCATTGTCATGATACCACCGTCACCTTCCCCCCACCCAGTCCAGCTGCTCTCACTCCCCAATAGGCCATTTTTCTCTGAGTGCTCCCCAGAAAGCTTCCTGCCATAACCCCTTTGTCTATGTCCTGGAAAACCTGACCTCTTTACAAGAGTGGCCAAGAGTGGTGAGGGATGATAGGAAGGCAACAGTGCTGAGCTCAGCGCCTGACATACAGAGAGGACCTGTAAATGACGGCCGTTATGATTCTCCACATGGAGGTCATCATTTCCCAGCCCTGGCTGAATATCAAAACCAGCTCAAGTTTAGAAAAAAAGGTCCAGATGCTTAGGCTACTTCCCCTGAGATTTTGATTCACTGGGGCTGAACCAGTCCCAGATTTCTGTATTTTTAGAAGCTCCACAAGTGTGTCTGATGGACAGCCGGGGCTGAGAGTGCTGACCCCGGCCATCTTCCCCACCACTGCCAGCGCTATAATTTACAGGCACAGACCCATGTAGAGCAAAGTGACCCATGCAAGGGCAGACGGTTCTCCCTGCCCAGAGAGGGCTCAGCTCATTAATCCCGACTCATCCAGGGTTGCTCAGGGTGGGGCTGTAAAGGCCCTTGATTCCAATTTTCCAACAGAACCATGAGGTAATTGCATTTACTAAGCAGGTCCTAGAACATCCTCCTGACTGGTGATCAAAGGCCAGATATGATCAAGCACCCTGAGTACCCAGGAGAGGGAATCCTCATTGTAGAGTGGTTATCAGGGAGGTCTTCAAGGAGGAGGTGGGCTCTGAACCTGACTTTTAAGAATGGTGAGGCTCTGATTAAGGAGCAGGCAGAGCAGGATGCTGGCTCCCAGAACTGGCTACCTCTTCCTGAGGTCAGCAGTTTCTAAGGAAACCAGTCCTGATCTGTATTCTCATCATCCTCCTGGCAAGACCAAGGGATCTCCGGGGCACTCAGACTCCTGGACCAGCAGGCGATGATTGTCCAGTTTTGAGAAGAACATATTTTCTCCTAAAGATTAAAACGTAGAGGAGGCTTTGCTTAAAATCTGATTGATCCGCACTTCAGTTGCCCCACTCTCCAAGAGCTGGAGTCCCAAGGCCATGGAGCTAGAGGTAGAAACTTGAGCCTGAGTTCACACTGAAAAGCTGTGTGACCTTGTCCAAGTTACTTGATCTCACTGAGCCGCTATTATTCAACTTTAAAATGGAGACAATAATACTTGCCAACCTGCCTCTCTTTTGCTTGTTCCAGGGAACATTTCTGTACACGGCACAGCACATGACAAGAGTGAGCTACTACTGGTTTTCGGCCCCCTCTCTCTTTTTAAACTCAGCGCACGGAAGCCCGGAGAGTTCCCGCCATCACCCAGTCTCCTCCAGTGAGTGCCATGGGGAGCAGAGGAAAGACCCAAGTTCCCCAAATCCAACCCTAATGCTTTTTCCAATACAGCAGCACAGCTCTTCTTCAAATCTTTCTTCTTTCTCTAATTTCTTAGGCACTACAGGGAATTGTGCATTCTCACCTTGCCCTAAATTTGTAGTCTTTGATGCCTTATAATCTTTTGATCCCTTCTGCAGCAGCCTGCCAACCTGTGCCCTTCCTGCCTTCGCCTCATCTCAAGGGTACTTCTGTCTATACTCTCTTTGCTTTGGGCATCCGAAACTCAGCCTGCAATCAACACCCCCCGCCCAATGTGATCATGACCCCCTCATCCATGGGATCTCCCACTTATAACACGGGTAGAATGTGACCTGCGGATTCGTTCATTACGAGGCACTTAACTTGGCACTTGGGATAGAGTCCAAAGTGGCCCATCAAGAATCCTTGAGGGCTCATCCAGGATCACCGCCAGGCAGCCCGATGTGGCCGTTATGGAGGGGGGCTCTTAGGGAGGCTGGGCTGGAGAGGACGACTCTGGCTCCCGACTCGGCGGGTTCCTTGACCTATCTCTGCCCTGTCACATCAGTCATCTGCTGCAGACCCCCCCTGCTGCTCCGTGCCGGTTCCAGGTAGAGTGCCCAGTCCTTGCGGCCTCTCCTCTCCCCACCCCATTCCTCTCGCCAGCTCGCTCCCCTCGGCTCTCCCCCGCTCTCCTCGCAGAGTCTCCTCCATGTCCAAGGGCCCAGCTCAGGTCCTCGATTCTAGGAGACAGGTCACGTCCACCACCCCGGGGTGCGTTGCGAGCCAAACTAATCAATGGCAGAGAGGTAGATTAAGGGACCCAGCCTGCAGCCATCCATCACTGTCGTTTACATGGGCCTGTCAGCCTGCAAATGGAAAAGGAGATGATGTGAAACAACCCATCTGCAGGTTTTTAACGCTCTTTACAAATTGCTGTGGTGAATAACTTGTTGCCTGTATTTATCCCCTTTCAAATTGTCTCTTAGCTACAGTCATCTGTCTTCATTCTACACCCTGATGGCTCGTACACAGCCAGTTGGGCAACCTCATTATTTCCCTGACGCTGCTGCATGGAGGAGTAAGGGGGAGAAGGGAGACAGGGGTGGAGGTGGGGCCAGAGGGAGGGCCCCGGTTTTCTCCATCAGGAGAGGCGGAGCCCAGGCTCCATCACTGGAACCAGCTGTGCTGCGGAGGACCCAGGCAGCGAGAACCTTTCCCCGGAGGGCCCCACTCCCCGAGCTCCGGGTTAGAGAAGAGCCTGCCTCTCTTCCGGGGAGCCTGAGAGCAGGGACCGCGGTCCACAGAGGAGGCCCCAGGACACCCCCAGGTTGCCAGACCATGGTGAGAATTTGCACTCCAAGGTCATGGCCACCGTCATCCCACCCTCAAAGAGGAGAGTACACCCGCCAGCCCAATGGTAAAACTTGATCACTGAAAGTTGTCCAAATGCTTCTCCATCCTCATGTCTCCGGCAAGAATTATGTCTCTGCCCCTGAGATTTTGGTTCGCACTGCCCCAGGCCCCCAGCTGGCATCCCTTCTCCCTCAGCCCCCTAACTGGTCAGTCTCCCCTCCAGTCTCCCTTCCCCTCCACTCACTGCACTTTCAACTGAAAACTTCTTTGAGAGGTCACATTATTTCTCAACTCCATCAGCATTTCCGGTCATTGCATTGGAGTCACTAAGCCATTGATGCCGTGGGACAGAAGGCTGCTTCTAACTAAGATTCCCAGCTGGTGAGTGTGCCCTGCAAAGGTGGAGAACCACACCCTAGAGATTCCACTTGACCCCTGAGGCACAGAGAGTGCAATAACTGACCCCAAGTCACACAGCTATTTAGCCACTGAGCGGGAGGTGGCCACCCAGTGCCCATCCTCCCACTCTACAGTAAAACCTTGCGTGAGCAGAAATTGTGCATCTGCCTCTCTCCCTGACTCCAGCATAAGGTCTTAGAGGGCAAGGAGAATATTCCACACACTTCTGTATGCTCTGTTTGCTTTCAGGTTCAACTCAGGGTTTCGTATACCTTTGGTAAGCCAGTAGAGTAAAGGGGAACACACAACAGGCTGAGTCCCACATTCAGGTCCTGCTATGGAGAAGAAAGCCCACGCAGGTGGTCTTCTTGCAGGACAGAAAGACCGTTGGTGGGGCTCAGAGCCCCACCCTCTTGCTGGTGTATCAAACCCAAAATCCGCCCTCCTGTCAGGAGCTGTGTTTCTGACTCTGTGCCCAACATTTCCATTCCATGTCCTCCACAGAAGACCTTCAAATAATGGAGAACAGCTGTCAGGATCCACTTAGATGTTCTCTCTTTCAGGTTTAAGGTCCCCGGCTCCCTCAACCACTACTCACGTGGTGTGGTATACAGACCTGGGGCATCGCAGTCCCCTCCTCCAAATGCCATCCCATTTGTCAATGTCCTCGCTCAACTGTGGCTCCCAGAATGAAGTACAATGCTCCAGATGTGGTCGGGCCACTGCCAAGCACAGAGGGACACACCATTATCTCCCCTCTCTTGGGCTCTGTGCTTCGATTAATATTGTCCAAATGGCATTCGCTGTCCTGGCAGCTCCACCCCACCCCACTTTGTCTGCTAATCCATCTAACTCTATTACTGCCTAATCTGTAACCTTCCATCTTGTCCCCAAGGGATATATCAGCATCTTTACGAAATGCCTTGCGGAAACCAAATGGATGATGGCTGCAGCACAATCCATGTCTACCAGCCTAGAAAACCCATCAGCCAGAGGGAGGAGGTCAGTTTGGCTGGACTTGTGCTTGGTGAACCATGATGATTTCCAGAGATCTCTCCTTCCATCCCTCCACCCCCACCATGGCTCGTGAACCATCCACTCAATAACCTTCACTCGGTGTCTCCTATGGAACTTTCTTTACCCAAGCAACTTGCTCAGTGTTTGGAACTGAGCAACTGCAACAGGTTGCCTGATTGATGACGCCTGTTGTGAGGTTTATGGTGGTGAGCAGGAACTGCCTGGGGAAAGCAGAGACGGAGCACGTCCAAACACCACAAATGCAGGAATACCCATGGAGGTTAAAGTAGCTTGCTAGAGAGTTTTTGAGTCTCTGGGTCAGAAAATGTGTTAACAATGCCTAATGTATTTCACTCTTTCTACACAATGTTTGATTCAAAGAAAATATGAAAACATCACTGGAATCCCAATTCTGCCAAACCATTTCCTTTCTCCTATAATTAGGTACTCTGGATTTTTAGTATCGTTTTTTTGTGTGTATGTTTGTTTCTCCTGATTTCCACAGGCTAATTTTAGACCCATCATGACTCACATTTTTGAAAGGCATAAGAAAAAAGACTTTTTCCCTAGCAATCAAATGTTCCTGTCCTCTGGGTGACATGCATTTAGGTAAGTCAGGGCGGCAGATGAGGGGGGCTCAGGGAGCATGCCGGAAGTTCCCTGCTGTGGTGGTGGAGAGCAGTTCAACAGTGACCTTCAGGGACCCCTGGCCAGCCCCGCTGATTAACCCCACTCCTTACTCCAAGAGACAGGTGTGGATTCTAGAGGGACAAGGCTGGAGGAACATTCCACTCTTGCAGAGCTGCCCTGAAGAACCATCAAGATCGATATTCTGAAGGCAGACCAAAAGACAATGGCCAGGAGGTCCAGGTGGCTTCAAAAGAGAAGGCAGTGACCATGACTGTCAGCAGTGGGAAGAGCTGTGAATCAAAGGGGTTGGCTCCCCATTGCTGGAAGGATTCAAGCCAAGTTTTCCTTGCCCACCAAGAGTCTGCTATATTGTCCCCACCCTATAACACTGAAGATGTTAACTAGCCCCTTTCGAAGCCTGCAGCGTCAGCGTTACAGATGAGCGAGTCCTGAGAAAGGCTGAGAATCATGGGTGAAACTTCACAGTTTGCAAAGCCCTTTCTCATTCATTAGTCTTCAAAATCTAGTCACTCACCAAATATTTATTCAGCACCCACCATGTTCCAGGCACTGTGCTAGGCACCAAGAGGACAAGAGTGACCCAAAACAAACACAGTGCCTGGACTCACAGGATGCGCACTGGCTCGCAGAGAAGACAGACACCAACGATCAGAAAAGCATGTTTTTACAGTCAACTCTGGCAAGTGTGAAAATGGACAATTATATAGTGGGATGGAACATATAACCCAGGGAACTGACCTAATTTGGGCAGGACACAAGGAGGACTTCCTGGAGTAGGGGACATGTGGGCTGGATGCTGAAAGATGAGGGGTAAGTAAGCAGATGAGGGGTGGGCAGGTGGGGAGGACAGAAGGAAGCCTGACACTTTGGAAGACTGGAAGATACCACCTCCCTGTAAAGGGGATGCTGCTCACCCAGAAAAATGTCAGTACTGCTGTGGCATCCAAGACAAGACACCTGCTCTCCACGTCCTTCAGTCTAGAAAGGGAGGCAGACATCTTTAAACTTCCAAGTAATTATTACCTCATGATGGTCAGGAAAAGGCTCCCAGAGAAAATTTCAGTATGCAGGGCAAGTATCCTCACCTATAAAATGGGGGTTGGGCCTGCCCAGGATGCACTCGGGAGAATCATCTGAATTGAAGGCAGGGATGGGAAAGGAAGGTGGAGGTGATGAGGAGGCCCCAGACTTCTCTTCACAGAAAAGTTGGTTACTGGCTTGTCACTATTAACTGAGATAGGGAACGGAGGGCCAGGCCAGAACACTTTCCAGTAAGTTCTTTGAGTCTGATTTGGGGTACTTCCTGCTTACCTCAGGTCTGGGTTCTCCCTATTAAGTCAAAGGGGAGTTTAAGGGAGGCTTCTAAGAAGAGGTCTGTATTGAGCTTGTTCCTCAAAGGCAATTAGGATAGGAAGGTGAGGGGGGTAGAGAGTAGAGAGGAATGCCAGGAAGAAGCCCCAGTTTGAGCAAAGATCTGGAGGCGTGAAGGAGCAGAGTTTGCTGAGGGAACTGTGAGTGGCTGTGCCTGGCTGGAGCAGGGCAGCACACCAGTGGGGGAGAGGGCTGTAAGACTGGGGCCAGGAAATCTGAGGAAGTCAGACTCTGTCCTAAAAGTAGAGAGGAATCATTGAAGAGTTTTGAGAAAGAAAGTGACATGTCAGATCTCACGCTCTGAAAAAATTTAATCACTGAGTCTGCAGAAAGGAGGTGACTTGGTGTGTGCTTTGGGGGTGGGAGTTCAAGGCCTGGGAGCCTTTAGGAGCTCAGCCTGGCAGGACGGGTGAGGGAAGGTGGACCAGGGAGGAAGTACAGATGAACCGCCAGTTGATTTTCTGCTGTCTCATGAAAAGTGCATTTACAGACATCCAGAGGAGGTGGGACCGGTGAGCTGGAGGTCAGGAGCATGATGAGGATGAAAATAAAGCTTTGAGGTGTATCCATTTTGGGGGGTGCAGATAAAGATTGAGAGTCCTCCTGCCTCTCCTCCAGAAACAACCTGCTTCCCCCTCTGCCCTCTCTCCCGTGTGCCTGACCATTTATTCCTTTGCTTAAGGGAAACCCCAGAAACATTCCTAATTCTTCCTTCTCCCTCACCCCTGCCCTCACATCCAAACCGTCAAGGGACTGTGGACCCCTTTCCACACAGCTGGGCCGCATGTTCTCCTCTCCCCACCTGCTCAGAGCACCCTCAGAATTTCTCCTGTTGCAAAGCCTTAGCCCCTGGAGGCCCCCTGCCACTGTCACCCACTCCGTCCTCTCACACCCCATTTTCCCCCAGGATCAGACCCTGTCCCTGCCAGAAAACCCTCCATAGCTCCTCCCCACTTTCAGGAGCAAATGCTCTGCTGAGCCCCTCCTCCTCCACACCCCTCCTACTGCCTTGCTTCCACTAGCGCCTGGGGTTGGCTGTTTGCTGGTCTCAGAAGCTACTGCCTCTGGGCTGCCCAAGCCTCACCCGTCTAATCACATGGTCTCCAGAAAGCGTCACCTCTGTGGAGAGCCCTCCCCATCCCGCTTGAGAACAGCCCCCAGCACGCCATCAAATCAGCGCATTTTGATGCTGTTCACTCTCTTGTGTTTTTCTTGTCTATCGATTTGCTTACTGCACGCCTTCCATACCCACCCATACATGCATGTGTTAGACGTGAACTTCCTGAGAGCTGGGCCTGCTCACCACGACACCCTGCAGCCTAGAGGAACACCTGCTCGTCAGCAACGGCCCAAGGATACCCACTGGATGAACGAGTGAGCAAGCACATGGATGAGCGAAGCAGCTGGTATAAAGGAGATATTTGAGGGGATAAGCCCCTTACAGAGAGAGTATGACCATGAGGTGAGTGTAGCTGAAGAAGGAAGAGAATCAAGAGACACCTTTACTGGGAGTTTTTAAATGGGTCACAGCATCAAATGCTGCCGGAGACCCTGGAGGGACTCAAAGGCATCCTCGGGTCTTAGTAAGCGAGGGGTTACTAAGCGTGTTGGGGAGCACTGGAAGGCTGGTGTGGTTGGCTGGGAGGGAGGTATGACTGGGGGCATATCTGGGTAGAACACGTAGGTGAGGGCATCTGGGCAAGGGGGAAGGTTCTATTGAAGGCCTCTCCTGGATGGAGAGGAGAAGGCAGAGAGGGATCGTGTCTGAGACTACAAAGCAAGGCCCTGGAACTAGACCCTCAGAGATTTACAGAAACTTGCAGAAGCCCCAAACAAGGTCATTATTTGTCCCTCATTCAATTCAAGCTGATATTTATACCACTTGCACTTCTAGTCAAGGTCAAGGGCTAAGAAGGGGGCCAGAGGTGGCATGGCCTGGCCTCTATTCTAGGTCCTAAGAAGTTTAGTTCTAACCCCAAACATGCACTTGGCAGCCACATAGCAAAGCCAGAACCAGCAGTTAACTGGGCATTCACCCCAAAAGGTGATCAAGGGAGAACCAGCTGTTGCTGCTGGAGCATGCACCTTTGGGGTGCACCCTGGACCCAAGAAGATTATCAGCTCATCCCTCCCAGCCATGAACTGCCATGTCCTAAGAAGAGACCAATCCATATGGTCACTCCAGCTCATCCCTTTTCCGGTGATGTCTCAGCACCCAACTTAGATCCATACCCCAGGCAGCTACCCAGTCTTAATTCAACTGCCACCCAGGCCAGCTCCCTGCTCGCCCTCAGCATCTTGTGAACAGAAAGGAACTTGCACCCAGTGTGGCTGGAGTGAGTGGTGTGAGTGGAGAGAACAGACGTGGGGTTCCCACACCTGGAAAAGTAGTTAAGGATCAGTTCTGTGCCCTGTCTCACCCCCATCCTTGCTCTGTTGAAATTTAAAACAGTGGCAGATTTGATGGCCTATGACTCAAGCAGCACATGTTTCGGTCTTGACTGTGCTCCCGACTAGCCCTTGTGATTTTAAGTAGGTTGTGGACTCCCTCTGGATCAATAAAACAAGGACAGGTTGGGACTGGGTGCTAGCATTTGACCTCTCAGTTCCCTCCAGTGCCCATTTTCTCTGAGACACCCTGAATTTGTAGATGTTTGCATCCCTCAAATTCAATAGTCAACTCTCAAGAATGTGTGATGAGAGGGTGAGAGAATGCTGCCTGCCGCTCCCTGGAGTGCCTGCGGCAGTTTGGTCATTTGAGTTAGGAGGAGGAAGTGGGCAGAAAAGGATCCAAGGACATCCACTTAGGAGAGATTCTCAAATCAGTGACAGGGAGAAGCTGCTGCAAAGGGGCATCAAATGTCCTCTGAAGAAGAAGGCAGGTTTTAAGTGCTAGAGAAGGAAGAAAAGGCAGAAAGCAGCCAGTATGTTCTGGGGAGATGTATCGTCTGGGGAAGAGAGACACACCCAGGAAACCCGAGGCATGCGCGCGCGCACACACATGTAGAAGAAGCCGGCCATCCCGGGGCCAAGCACAGCTAATCCCAAACAGTTTCAACAAGACATCCATTTTTAGCAAGTTTTGAGGAAATTGAGGATTATGAATTGGCCCAGAGGCAGCGGAGGCTTATCCAGGTTGGGGACAGGAAAGGATATGAAGTAGGCAAAAAAAAAAAAAAAAAATCACAATGAGTAGATGCTGGGGCTCTGGAGCAATCCTGGTCCACAGAGGGTGGTTTGCCTCCAGAATCTTCTCTTAAGGAAGATGCTGAAGTCCTGTTGTTTTGTTCATTTAAAACCAGATGGACCAGAGCCCAGAGCATCAACCATGGGGAGCAGCATCCGGAGAGAAATGCATTTAAATGCTTCTGGGGTGGACCCCCACGGGATGCATTATCAACTCTGCAGGTCTGTGGTTTCCTGGCCCTCCGCCCCTGTTGTGAGGTCTCACCAAGAGCTACCTAGTTGCCTGCATTTCACCCCTTGCCCAGCTTGCCCTGCGCCCTAGCCAGGTGGGAGGCTGAGGAGAGCTCAAGGCTCCAAGGAAAAAATAAAAATATGCGAAGCCCCCCACATCAGGGCACTCGGAAACACACCTTGCCCTGTTAAAATGTGTCTGGGGCTGAGCACTGGAATATTGGTGTTCCCTTTTATCCTGTCTCACGCCCACCTCACACCTCCCCCAGCCTCCGGGAAGGAAGATTCGAGGCTGGAGGGCAGCAGCCCCTGTGCCAGGAAGCCAACACCAGTGAGAGACGCCGGGCACTCCTCAGCAGAGTAAAAGTGAGTCACTGGGAGTCATACCTGCCTTCTCAGGGCTGAGGGAGGCCAGACCCGCTAATGGAAGGGAGAGCGGCAAGAATCCAACACTCCTGTGCTGAGCAAGGAAGGGCCTTCCCCGTCAACCCCTCCACCTGCAGTATCTCCTCCTCCTAACCTCCTTTGAGTGTCTGAATTCAGAACAGGACACTGTTGGGGTCATTTCCCCACACTGGCCACAGCCAGGTCCAAGGTGGCTTCTCAGAGTGGCCCCCAACCCCTCCATGGGCCCAGGACAGAGCCTGCAGCCCCCTTCCCTGGGATGCTGTGCAGATCCCCAGGTGCTGCAAGGAAACTACCCATTACCCTCCGGGGAAAACCCTAAGAGGTTGACAGATTTAGCAAATCAGAATCGAGAATGCCCAGTTCAATTTCAGACGTAAGTCTGTCTTGAACATGATTGGGATAAACTTATACTGAGAAATTATTTGTTGCTTATCTGAAATTCAGGCTTAACAGGGTAGACTACATTTTGTCAGGCAGCCCTCTTCCTCAGACCTTAGGTGAAAGGTAGGCATCCTGAAAGGGTGGCTGGTTGATCAAGGGGAAAATAATTCCCAGCAGGCAGGGTCCAGCCTTTGCTCCCAACAGTTCCCTGGGGAGTTCCCGTGTGCCCAGGAAACACTGGGCCATGGCCTCGGCTTGCACACAAGCTCCATGAAGTTGCCCCATAGGGGCTGCCCCCAGGACCCTCTTACTGGTTTGCCCAAGCCAAACTCACTCATAAGGCTGCTCCCAAAAGGGTGGAGGCCACTGTGGGGCTCAGCCACCTCCCCACCTCCCCCTGCCCTGCCAGCCCAAGAATCAACATCCTGCCCTCTTTAATGGGAGTCCATTTGCTCTCGCTCAGCCTGAGTGTAGACATTTTCAAGGAGAGAGAACTCCCTGTCCTGTGGTTTTGATTCCAATCTAGAACATTCCCCTTCAAAGCAGGAGCAAGGAGAAAGCTGAATACCTGCCTATCTCTTTGTCTCCCCTCAAATTGCTATCTATCCATCGACACCAGGGGCCCTCGGGGCCTCTGCTCCATTCTGCCTGGCTGCAGATTCTATTGCCCACTGCCCTTTGCTCCTGCTTAGGCTAATTGAGGCTGGCACATGAATAGGGGCCGCTAATGGCTTCCTCCTCACAGGCTCTCAGCTGGCAGATGGAGGTACATGATTGCCTCCTTTCCCGACCATTAAGTAGAGCCGCCAACACCACGCACCGGCTCCTGGCCTAACAGCGTGGCATATGGACGAGCAGAGGACGTGGGCCTGTGAGTCCCCCTGCCCAACCCTCCTCAAAGAGCAAAGGCTCCGGGAAGCCTACTCAAGGTGGGGGGCAGGGTATCACCCACTGAGAAACCAAGGGGCCAGAAGAGTAAGCCACACGCCCAGAGGCATGTTCTCTCCACCTCTACCCTGTCTGGACCAGGAGCCCCTGGCCTCTAGGAGATGCCCTGTTGTTCCTGGTCCTAACGAGGAAATGGGGTGAATTGACCAGGACAGCACATCTGGGGGGACTCTGGAGGAGTCTTTGTATGAGGTGAAGAAGCAAGGATCACCCACCCCTGGAGTGTTGCCCTTCCTTTGCACCCCACTAACTCCTGCATGGGGTAGGGATAGTAAGGGGGAGGGTTAGTAACAGACCAACTTGTCCATAGTTACTCAGCTTAAAATATTCTCTTTTAGTCAATCAAGAACCGAAGTCCCTTTAGGTGCCATTTCATTTGCATCAAGGAGCCTCCCCCTCAGTCCTTCCTTGGATGGCATTTAAGGGAGGGGCCTTGAGCTCACGTGCTGCCCTCTGGGTTATTGTCCATAGTCTGAGCTATTCCTTTGGTCCCACCCCAGTAGATCTTCCTGGCAATAGCATCTCTGGATGAAGGCCCCAGGCTGCTGCCACCACTTCCAGTCATGTAGCTGTGACATCATGACCTCAGGCTTCTGTCACTGACCCTTGTAGCACTGCTGCAATCCTCCCTCTTGGAGACACTGAGACTTCCAGACCCTCTATATGTGGGACTCAGGGTGCTGGCAGCCAGGAACACTGACTCAAACCCACATTGGACACCTTCTTCCACCAAAGCTGGAGTTTGACCCTCCACCACACCAAACCCAGACCTCCCAGAGGGTTGTCCTCTCCTCAGGCTGCCCTTAGAAATCAGGGCATGAGCCTCTGCAGTGCCGGTTTGATCCCCAGCTGCCGGCGAGGGTCCCACATGGCACACAGACCTCTCCTGCACGCCTTCTGCTCCCCTCAGCAGTGTATTTCGTCAGTCTGCCTGTTCTGTTCCCCACTCTGGCCCTGGTGAATTCTCTCACCCTCCCGCGCTTCTGACTGTACCCAGTGCTTGTATAAATGAATAAATAAAAAAAAGAAAGCAGGGCATGAGTGCCAATATTCTTGGGTCCCCACACCTACCTGAGAACATCTTTCACCCATGCTGCTCAAAATTTGACCCCGGGGCGAATGACATGGAGAAATGAGGAAGCTCACCCTCCCTCCTCACCTGTTACAGAGGCCAGAGAAGTGCCCCCCATTTTCTGTGGAGTCAGAACCCCCTCTCCTCCCCACCACACTGTGTAAGACTCAGTTTTCACACCTCTGAGCTTTGCTCTGATAATGCAGAGTTAATCTTACATGTAGGAAAGCATCTTATCTCTACAGACAAGGCTGTCAAGAGCCTAGTGTCGCTAAGGTCTTTAAAAAGCCAAGCAATGGCCTCTTTGTTCCAAGTCATTCGCTTTCTTCTATGCTTTCTCAAGTATGAAAGAAAAATAAGGGGTGACAGTTTACAGGCCCAGACATTTTACCAACCTAGGAACACACGGCAAAGGTGGACCATCACTCACCTGCACCTCCCTGCAGAACAGGCGGGAATCTGCAGCCAATGATGCCAAGGCCTCCTCCCAACCCCTGCCCTCCGGGACTCCATGACCCAGTGAGGCAACCAGATCAAGACACAAATAACCACAGCCTGACACAGGACCCAGAGAGTGCAGTGAGAAAGGACTAGGGGTCCTCCGAAGGTCAACCAAGGAGGAGGACTCATCAATTAGACTGCTAGTTCACAACAATTTTTTAAACCCATGACCTCATAATAATGCTTTGTTTGGCTGTCTACTCAGGAATTCCACCAGCCAAGAGCAGTTTGTTAACTTAACTCGCAGCGGTTTAATATCCAAAAACAAAAGACATGTTGGTTATGATTTTTTACAAACTACACCTTCTCCCTGGCCACCCCCAGCTCCCACTTCATGCAGATTCTGATGAAGCCCCAGCAGGGGCAAAAAGAGGATGTTCAATGATTTATTCAAGCTGGGGGAGGCTTGATGGATGGTGCTGATACAACATAAAAGATGGGTGAGATCCAAAAAGATAAAGTGAGAGGGAGTATTCCAGGCAAAGGGAACCCCGAAGCAGGTATACAGGCGAGGAGAGGTGTGGAGCTCAGGGAAGGCAAAGGACTGTCTTGCAGGGTGTATGAAGGGTGTATGCAGGGGGAGAGGTGGGGAACTTGTGCCTGGAGCTGAAGTTGCTCTGAAGAACTGATCAGGGCTGTGTGTGTGTTTGCACAGCTGCGTAGGAAGCCCCTTGACCAAGAAAGAAAAGACTAGAATTGAAAACTCCAAAATAATTTGAGAGTCATCCATAGGCTTAACTCCTCCGTATCTGCAAGATCACACAGAATTGTGAGCTGGCCCTAACAGAGTTCATTTTCCTCTCCTTTTCCTTTGTCTCTTCTTCCCCTTCCGTGTTTCTTTGTCCCCTCCCTTATCTATTTTCCTTTCTCCTCCATCTCTCTGTATCCCCCGCTCTATTGCTGCTCAGCCCTGCTCCCCCATCTCCTGGGTCTCCTATCTCAAACCCGTTCCTCCCACCCCGCCCACATTCAACCACCCTTTCCTGAGTCACTGAGTTCAATTTCATCTCGTCCAAATTGCTTTATTGGTTCTGCAGTAAAACAAGCCTAGCTAGAGCCATTATAGACGTGTACGGTGTGCATTAGATTCAAAAAATATTTAAGGAAAATACTCTGGCAAATGGAATCAATAAACTCCAAATCAAACATTCACCGGGAAGAGGAAGTCTACCTTCAGCTGAGAGTGCTGGGAAACTGCTCACGGTCCAGGAGCAAGCCCCTGAAGCTGGTTCACTGCCCCACTCGGAGGGGGTCGTGAACACCACCTACCCCAGCTCTCCCTCCTGCAGCTGCCCCAACTCTGACTGCACCTCCTCTCACTTCTCCAGGCCCCCACTTCTGCTCTCAGCTGCTGCAAACACCAGTGGCTTCCACACCTGCCCCCCATGCAATTTTCAGAGGTGCTGATTAAGAAAGGGAGAGATGATGGGGAGAGAGGGGAGAGGATTGGGGAACCGAGGCATTTACATTGTGGTATTTTTAGACTCAAAGATTAAATCTTTAATAATCATAAATTTTTCTTGAAAGAAAATGAGAGTTTGGTGTGCAGGGCTTGAAGCCTCCCTCCTCTTTGTCCCCTCCGCAGAGGGGGGAGAAGTAAGAGGAAGGGACGCACAGCAGAGAGAAGAGAAAACCCAGAGGGGACTCAGACCCACCGGACTGGAGTCAGGCTCTAAGCTTTGTTCTGGTGGATTCCAGGAAGGAGGAACTCAGGCTAAGGTCAGATTGGGAATTTAGGGCCATTTCCGAGCTCTCAGTCACTCTAGAGACTGTGAGATACAAGAGAAGAGAAAATAGGACTGCAGGAATCCACTTTCATCACCATCCTGTCCTAGTGGAGAGTTTCCAGTATTTCTCAGTGCTTTGGGGGACAAAAAGCAGGGAGTACTGACCTCCCAGATTCCCTAGAAGGATCCCTTCCTCCAGATAGCTTTCCTCTAGGGGGCTTCCATCTATGGAGAGTCCCCCAAACACATCTCATGAACGTGCTTCCATTGGAAGCAGCCAGATGAGTTTTTTGCCCCCCACACTGCCCAGCGAAGGCCTGCTTTCACACAGGCACAGTGCCGCCACCCCGCCTTGGACAGCTGCCCAGGGAGGCCCGAGAGAGGAACAGCCTGGACCATAATTAAAGACACTGGGATGGGGTCCCACCTCTACTGCTGTTTGTGTGCATTTAGACACTCCCCCAGTGGGGACCTCGGTTTTGCCAAATTACAACCAAGAGGGAGATAGATCAAAGGATGTTAGATTAGGAGCCGTGAACCCCCTGGATTTGCAGAGGGACATTGACTGCATGTGCACTGCTCTGATACGGGACTTCATCGTACTCAAGGAGGCCTGGGCCCCCAAAGAATTGAGAGCCCCCGCAGGAGCCAGTGCCCAATGCTGTGTGTGGCTCAAGCCTTCTCAGCCTTCCCAAGCCTCCAGGTGGGAGCCACTGGTGTTTGCAGCAGCTGAAAGCAGAAGTGGGGGCCTGGAGAAATGAAGGGAGGTGCAGTCAGAGTTGGGGCAGCTGCAAGAGGGAGAGCTGGGGTAAGTGATGTTCACTACACCCTCTGAGTGGGGTAGTGAACCAGCTTCAGACTTAAACACACACACACACACACACAGTTTGTCTTCTCCTCTGTAGGGCCCTTGCCGCACCAACTCATGTTCCTGTGGAGAATCCCCAAACAGATACCTACTCTGACACCCCTTATCAGAATTATGTTTCCTCCAAGGCGGCGATCAAAGCATCTGACTTACCAAGGAAATTAAGACGACTCCAGCAGGAATCGCCTTCTAGAACCTAACTCATCAAACCCTGGTGCTGCCTTTGTTTTTTGTAATGAGTCTTAAGCTGGGCCCTGTGCCCCTGGGGACATTGAGCAAATATCACAGCTTCCTGAAGTTTCCTTTCTCTCCACTTCCTAATGCCTATTGGCGCCTCAGAACCCTCCCTGTCAGCCAGCCCCCTCCCCTCCCTTCCCACCCCAGAGAACACTCACTATCTTCCAGAGCTCTCCTCCGGCTGTTATCTCCTCACAGCCCCCCACCCCACCCCACCCCACCCACCCCCACAGCCATGGCCACTCAAAGGACTCTCTCCTCTGCCTTTCTTTACAATGTGGCTTCCCTCCCCACTGGATCCACTCTGGCCAAAGTCATGACTGGTTCTCTGTGCTCATCCTGTTGACCTCTCAATAGCCCTTGACCCAAGAGACCACCTTCCTTCTTGAAACACTCCTTTCTCCAGCCTTTCTTCTCCCACAAGGCCTGATCCCAGAACTCCTTAATCTCCTTGTCAGCGTCCCTCTCTGCCCTCAAAATTCCAGAAGAGCAGCAGGTTTTCAGGCAGAGAATGAAGGTTTCACTCCAGCCTCGGCCTCACTGGGTATCATTTTAATTTTTATAATCTTTGCTCATGCTATTTCACTGCTTGAATTTCCTGTTCTTTTCTAGTGGGGGATTCTATAGGGCCTTGTAGATCATGGAAAATAATTTAGATTTTATTCTAAACTCAAAAAGAGGAGTCACACCATCAGTTTTTCGTCTGAAGAAGTCCCCCAGGCTGGTGTGAGGTGGCTGGACAGGAGTGAGGCTAGAGTGGAAACAGTGAGGCTAGAGTGGAAACAAAGGCTCCCCAAGCTAATCCACAGGACTTGAGGAGCATGAGGGCTGGGGCAGCAGAGCCGGCAGAATGGGCAGAGAGCCGGATGCAGGACTTGCTGATGGCTGGGATGCTGGAAGGAGAGGAAGGAGGGATCAAAGATGACTCCGGCACTTTTGGCCTGAGTAATCAGAGCACGGTAACAGCTGCCACTTCTATAATATGAACGGTGTGACCACACTGTCCTCAGGTTTACACAAATTGTCACTCATTCTATGTCAGCTCTGCAAAGTAGGCACCGTGTTAATCCTCCTTACGCTGAGACCTGGCAGAGTGGTGCTGGAACCAGAATTCCATCCCAGCCAGTCCATCTCCAGAGTTCACACTATTAACTACCCCACTCACCACCCTTAATGAGGAGGATTGAGCATTTAGGGAGACAGGGACAATAGGGAAGGCACAGGAAGGGCACTTCGGGGATGGAGCCAAGCTCTGCCTCTCCAGTCCCTGACCTGATGACAGCCAGGCTATGCACATTGGCCATGCCACTGAGAAATCTGAGAAAAAGTGGGTGATGGGGAGAAAGTGCCAAGTGGGGGTTGGATTATCTTTACAGATGAGAGGGCCTCAGGGTGAGACCCTACATTAACTCCCACCTCCCCCTCCTCCTTGCGTACACACACCTGCCCCTGGTTTCTCAGAGAGGTTCCTCTGATTATTTTTATTAAGTTGCATTCATTACCTTAGTATTAATTTTTATATTTTAATTATAAAAGTAAAGGCTTTTGTAAGACATTTAGGGAATATGGGAAATAGAGGAAAATAGTAAACTCATCCCTGGGTCACCCAGAGAGCTACCATTCACCTTTTAGTATTTATTTTAGCCAGAAAGAAAGACATTACTTAAAAAAAAAAAGCATTATAATAAACATTCACTTTTTGTACCCTGATTTTCCTCACTTAAGATACAATGTAGGCATTTCCCATGTTGTTAAATATTTCTCTCAAATGATAATGTTCATAACTCTTTAGCAGCTCTGTCTAGATGCACCCTCATTTTGCCAGCCCTCGGGTAGTGAACATTTGTGTTGTTTCCAGTTCTACGTCTTTATAACTAAAACCACAATGACTATATTCATATGGAAATCTCTGTGTGCATCTGACGCTCCCCTTGGGATAAACTGCTATAGTGGTGTCACAGGTTTAAAGGATTTAAACCTTGTAAGGCTTTGATACACATTACCCTGCCAACGCCTTGGTCCAAACACCATCATATGCACCCTGTGCAGCTTCCCTAGTCTCTTCACCATTGTTCACAAAACACTAGCAGGGGTGGTGCCACTCCTGCTGCAAACCCAGAGGGGCTCCCCCTGCCCTGGGCACATCCACATAGCATCACCCCCTTCTTCACTTCTCACCATGCTGCCTTCACTCACTCTGCCTCTCTGGTCTCTTCTCTGTTCATCAAAAATGTTTCTCACCACAGGACCTTTGCACATGCTTTCAGGACCATTTTTCTCTCTCT